CCCCAAAACCCCAAAACCCCAAAACCCCAAAACCCCAAAACCCCAAAACCCCTTCCTTGCGTAGCACTATAGAATAACAAATTTATAAACTTTAGTTAAAAATATACTAACATGAAGCCTTCTCTTAATAAATCCCTTGCTTCATACAAGAGGACGCCTAAAATTGGCAGAGGAGATAAAACCGGTAATAGGAAGAAGAATCCAAATTTCTTAGGAGCATTGGTCACCCCAGGAGGGATGAAGAGGCTGACAAAGACACCCATTAAGAAAACTTCAATTAAAGTTATTTAAAAGTATGAGGGACAACAAGTATAAACCTTTCAGAATTAGAATCTGGAAGGTTTCTGACAAGCATAATCTTCAACCTCCCTCCGATTATCAATATATGAACCCTGTGAGCTATGGAAGGGCAGTCACAGACGCTGATTCATCATTTTCGTACAGCAGTTCTGAGAATTGGTACAAGAAAAGGAGCAAATATAGCAAAAGTAGTAATAGAAGTAGTGCTAGAGGCAATTCAGCCCAGCAAGAGAAATCTGATGACAACTTTATTAATGAATTACTTTGTAAAAATGAAGATGTTGAGAACCGAAGCAGCAATGTCAGCAGTGAAGGTCAAAATTCATTAGCATTCTGGGGAAATAAACGAATTGAACAATCTTTATCCAAATTCTCCTCCCATCTACAACTTCCCTCGAATGTGGAAGAGGTACCTGAACCCAACAGTTTGGTTAGTTTTGAACCAGAAGATGTAGTACTTGGGTAAGACTAATTTCGCTTTAAATTTATTTACGCCAAATATAGTGGCAGAGGAAGCGACCAACTCCACAAGCAAAAGGGTAAAAAGACTGGTAATCTTAAACTCACTCTTAATAGACCCTGAAGATGAAGATTTCGTAGAAGAAATAATCGAAGATGAAGACGACAATAAATCCATTGGTAATCATTCCCATTTCTCTTCATCCTTAAAATGTTCTTATATTCTGGTAGAAGTCGTAGACGAAGTTGAGGAAGAAGATGATGTTGTTGATGAAGTCGGAGAAGTCGAAGTCCCCACAATGGGAGAAACCGGCCATAAATTCAATGAAATAATCCTCTCTGATGATGAGTTTGACAGTGTGGTTATTGATCCTAAGAAGGAAAAGTCTATGCCACCTAAGGCCTCATTGTTTCAAGATAAGGCTGCTAAATTTACAAGTTCATATGAATATAAGAGTAAGAATTTTATGCCAAAGTTTTTAATATTTATAGATAAAACAGTTGCCCAAAGCAAGAGGAAAACTATGAAAGAGACCATCGAAGATGATGAGATCAAGGAAGAAATCAATGTGGAAGATGACTCAGAAGATGAAGCCCCAGCAACTAAGCTGAGGAAGAAATTTTTAGATAGGATCGCCAATAATAGAACAATTGGCAAAGGAAGGTCCAATACCATGATGAAGTTGAAAGGAAGCTCCCCGCTAAGACAGTTCTTGGACAGTAAAGGTAAGCATAAAGTTTTCGAGCATCTCTGATTGTTTATAGGGTAAGAATTTTACAAAATGATGGGTCGATCGAACTTCAGAAATGATCGCCTTTAACACTTTTTATCATAATATAGAGATTCAAAGACAAGACTCAGAAAGGATAACTTAATTAAGCCTCCAAAGCACAGACTGAGCAAGAATACAAGAATGATTGAATTAGAATGAGATGAAATTGACGATGACTCTTCAGAATCTTCTTCATCATCTCTTGAGCGGTCAAATTACAAAAATAAAGCAAAGAATTAACTAATTTAGCTGAAATTAAAGACTAGGAAATTTCGGAATTATGAAGATTATTTTAATTTTAAATCAATCATCTATCAGACTCAAGGGGTTTTGGGGTTTTGGGGTTTTGGGGTTTTGGGG